ATATTGATTTAGAATATATTAATGAATTATGTACTTCATTATATATGTATAGACATTGCTTTTATATATTATTGTTGTTATGTTATTTATAGACTGGCTCATGTCTTCCAAAAGATCTCAACCTGATGTATAAAAACCATACGCAAACATCAACCTATTTATTTAATGCCATAGAAGGCTTTTTTCATTTATTTATTAAATTTTTTTCATCCACTTAGTTAGACTTGACTAAGATAATATGCAAAAATCTGTATCATAGTGGTCCACTCTTCATTAACAAAAATTCAAATTTGTTCGTTTGTTTATAAGTCGTTTGTTTGTTTATAAGTCACTAGCTCTACATTCCATTAGTCTAAATTGTTAGCCAATTACTTAAAATCAAATTACAATTTGTTTCGGCTATAAATTCATTAAATCTGGCTATGGCATTCGGAGACATCTTGAGCCACACTTCACAATATTTATATAGTTCTATAAATGTCAAAAGAAGAAGAAAAAACTGAGCAAACTGTCATAAAGCTGAAGACGTGTTCAAGTTTTATTGCTCGCGGCAAGTGTATATCAAATGAAAGCGAGAGAGAGATTCAGAAGCAAAGACGGGCGAAGATGAGTGAGAGAGAGAGAGAGAGAGAGAGAGAGAGAGAGAGAGAGGGAGGGAGTGGGAGGGAGAGGCGAAAAAAAGACAGTCGAACAATTAGGCTGACAGGCAACAACAGCAAAAGCTGTGGCTCTCACTTTCTCCTTTTCCCTCTCTCTCTATCTCAGTCGCTCACCTGCTGCCTTCACCTTGAGCGGCTGAGCATTAAGCTCTTCATACAAATGCGTCGCTGATGGATGTGTTTCGAGTGGCGCCCGAGAATAATGCCGACTCTCGGCTGGCTGACGTCAGCGAGCTGCCTGTTCTGGGTGTCTTTGACTTGTCGCCGTTATCAGTGGAGCTGGTTAGGGCCGAGGGCGAGGGGCGCGGGCGTGGGGTGTAGAGCGCTTGGCAGCCCAACAATTGGGTGCGGGGTCTAAGCGATTTATAAAAGCCAAACGGCAAATGGCGACCGTCAAAGCAAAAGTGTTGCAAGCAATTTGAGCAATGGCGGCGAGAGTCCTTTTTTTTTTTTTTGCCAATTGTTGTTTGCCCGMGCAGCAAGACAACAACAGATACAATTCTCGGCTCCTGTTCCAGCCAACAGTTTCGCCGTCTCCTGCTAACCTGCGCTGCCATTATTGAGTGCGCGCACGTAACTGACATCAGCGTGCTTATAAATCAAGTTGCAAATACTTTTGCCAGCCTCTCACTCTCTCCCACTCTCTCTCTCTCGCTCTCTGCTCATTCGGTCACATTCGCATATAAAACTCCACTTTAGAGTTCATGAATTTGGCAACTGGCATATTCTCGCTCATATGATTAGATTAATGCATTGTATAATGGCTCGAGCAGGCGGCACCACCTCGCACCACCTCGCACCACCCAGCACCACTCTCCCACTTGCTCTCTACCCTTCTGTCATCAACTACACACAGGGCTGGCAATCTCTCACCCTGATTGCTGTGCTCCTCACCCTTCTGCCCCCCCCGGCTTTGAGTGTGCGTAAATCATAATTTAAATGCAAACGCTTGGGTTAAACACTCCTGCTACACACACATACACACATACACTGACAAACTGTGCGCACATCTATCATGCATTTTGATCGCAATAATTGAATATAAATTATTAAATAATGATGAATTATGGAATGCGAACAAAGCATTTAAAGCCATGAATACTTTTGCCTGCTTGCCAATTCAATTGTGAAAAAATGAGCAAAATCTTTTACCTAAAAAAACCTGCATTTACTTTTCAAGCTATTTTTTATGATGCCATGCCATAATGTTATAATTGTTGATTTGTAAACAAAAATGCAAATTAAATTTGTTATATTTATGTATGTATCAAGTCAAAGAGATTTGATGTCGCAAATCGGGAGCAGAGGACTTTTTGCATTTATTGAAATCAACTTCCCAGGTTGGCCCAAGTTCAAACATCCAGATCCAGAATATAAAGCATTAGCCAAAATAAAATAATACAGATACAAAAACAAAAAAAAAAAAGTAAGAAAGGAAACATTTCCGGGGTTTGGGTTCATAAGGCCTGCGTCGCGTCAGCTCAAGTGGAAATCCGACGAGAGAAAAGTTTCGGGTGAAGGAAGTCAGTCTCAGCCTCAACTTGAGCTTAAGCTTTAGCTGCTCTCGGCTGGCGTGTAAAAGTATCCAAGAAGTGGTCTTAACTGAGTCCGTGTTGATGGATTAGATGTGTAATATGAGTAACTGTGGCAACGACAACAGCAACGGCAAGGGGAAAGGCGGAGGCACAGGCAGTGTCAGAATATAAACGATAATGAAGTAGAGGATTGGGGAGATGTAATGACCGGTTAGACGGGCAAGGTCTTGTCCGTGGCCACCCAATTGAAGACGATGCGCTGGACGAGCTGCACCACATCCGGGAACTGCACGTTCCACACATTGATGAAGAAGAACGCGCCCTGCATGAAGTTGAGGCCGCGATACGGCTCCAGCGCCAGCATCGGCTCGATCGAGGCATTCAGATTGATAATCATGTGGTCGAACAGCCGCCTGTCCTCCACATCGCGCAGCGAGTCCATCGGTATCAGGCCGAGCTCCTTCACCACCAAGCCGCCAACCGGCTGCACGCTGGTGCCGAGCAGCATGATGAAGTCGCAGCTGTGCTCCGCGGCGAACTGCTGCAGGGCCAGCTGGGCGAACTCGAACGAGATGAAACGGGTGACGGCCATGGGGAAGCAGCACTGGGCGATGCGTACCAGGTGGAGGCCATTGTTGGCGCTCAGCAGCTTGAACTCGCGCCGCAAGATCTGCGGCAGCGTCAGCTCGTTCAGATCGAACATGGCATTGACCAGGGTGTCGTAGAGCTGCGTTCGCTGCGCCATATCCAGCTGGCCCAGCTGCTTCTCCAGATACAGCAGCAGCTGGAAGTCGCGCACTGTGTGCAGCTGATCGATCGGATCCATCACAAAGTTGCAGTTCTGCAGCAGCAGCGCGGCATGCAGCAGCTCGAAGACGCGCAGGCAGCGCACTTTCGTATAGTTATAGATGGGGCTGTCGTAGCGCTCGATTATCAGGGCGGCGCAGGAGCGCATCGGGTGCATGATGCGCTGACAGTAGATGGGCAGGCGGGCTGCCTCGCACTGGTAGGGCCGGTAGTCGTAGACCTCCTCGGTGCAGTAGTGAAACGGGCTCACATGATGGTTTACCAAAATGAAACGGCTGCGCAGCAGCAGCTCCTCGGGCACATCGTCGCGAAAGACCAGATGGCGATCCGGTGTGATGGTCTGCTTCTCCAGCAGGAAGCGCACCTCCGTTTTGCTGGCATAATCGCGTCGCATCATGTTCAATACGGGCATACAGTTGTGAAGCAGTGTGCCCGGATTGCGATAGCGCAAAAAGGCAATGGCCAGCGTGCTCACCACGGAGTCCAGGTCGCAGCTCTCGTTCGACAGCGCAATGTACATGAGCTCTGGCCCGCCGGTGGGCCGCTGTAATTCCAGGGCAGCTTAGTCATGCAACAACAACCACAAGAACGACAAAGACAACCATCAGTTGCAACCACTACTCACCCACTGGGTCAGACGTTGCGAGCTCTCCAAGAAACTCAAAAAGTCCAACTGGAAATTCTCCTCACTTTTATCCATAATAAAACACAAAAAAGAACTACAGAACACAGTGGAGCTCAGTCGAATGATATTCGTATTTCTGTTTTCAGATACTGCTCTTTTCTCAGCAGCTACTTGATTTAGTAATTATTATTGCCAATGAAGCTTGACGTGTGATGTGTGCTTTTTGTCGTCGTGTGTTCGATTAATTTTTCTAGGCCTTGGCCGATGTCTGCTGCAGGTTAGTGATGTAAAAAATCAGCGATGCATCGATCATCGATGTTTCATTACCGATGTTTACCGATGTTTTTCGATGTTTTCGCTGATACCGATGTTGAACGATGCATCGTTGTTTTGCAAACAAACCCCATTTGAAAGCAACCCTTTTTTTTTAAGTGGAAGGTATGAAAAGTACCTATCTTAATTTATTCAAAATTACAATCAAATTTTTTCCCTAGATGACATCTTCTGTTCCCTCTAATATAATATGTAATTCTGTTTAATTTTAGTGAAATGTATAAGACTGCTATGAAAGCATAAGATATCTCTCCGATGTTAAATATTTTTAATTTAAGCCTTATGCAAAATATTGCTATGAAAGATAATTTTTATTTTTGTTAAATAATGTGAAATACTTTTAAGTATTTATTCTTATTTATAAAAAAGTATTCGTTTTATAATCAAAGTGGAAAGTCATACATTGAATTTTCTTCGATGCTTTCATTGAAATTGACATCACTACTACAGGTGCGATTGACAGAGAGAGATTTGCGAAACATTTGCCAGCTGAGCGGAGGGGCGTACTAGGCTTGCTCAGCAAGTAAAATACAATTCTCGATGGCTCTACATCAGCAGTTATTTGGGCTATCGAAAAAAGTAATCGATGACAGCAATTGACTAAAGAAAGAACTCTGAACGCTTATTAAAATTACTGGAAATCCTGTCGAGGAAATCTTTAAGATAAGCTCGCATCAATTGACGAATTTGATCACTTTTCTTAGGGCTCATATTTGTCATGATAAATTAAATAAATAATAGTATATCAAACGAAATTTGTTTGTTTGTAAAAATTTAAACACTGTTAGCCAATTCTTATTAGGCCCAAATAATACTTCATACTTAATACTTGAATCACATAATATTTAACATTATTTTCTTTTTTGGGTTGTATATTTCGTTAATTTAATTTAT